ACGAAATAGACAGGCCTTCTCAAACGAACAACAATTGCCAAACCCCAGACATACATAATATTATATTTTTTTTTCACAGTGTGTGCATTTGCTTTTATCTTGTTCCAACATCATTTTGTAATTGCCGGCGTTGCAGGTGAGTGATAGGAATATCCATATATGACTTTACAGCCATGTTGGACACAGATGTTAAAAGTGTGGCGTGGGGATGTCTATGTATGATTTGACAGCACAACCATGTTGGACACAGATGTCAAAATTAGTTGGTGGTGGTGTGTATGTGTGAGTTCGTGTGAATGTGTGTGTGTGTGTGAGTTCATGTGTGTGTGTGTGCGTGTGTGTGTGCGCGCGTCCGAGGGCTGGTCAAAACCTTCTAAGCCTGAATAACTTTCAACTGTGGGCCATAATAAAATGAATTAGTCAATGTACTACATTGTTTGAGTAGTTTATTGCAAGTTTTTGGTTCGTTTGTATATTAGTGACAGCCAGTTGAACGTGATACGGGTCCAAATGGATACAGAAAAGAACGAGTACCGAGCAGTCCTCAAGTTTTTGTCTTTTGAGGTACTCAAGAAATTCATGACCGCAAGTCACAAGTGTGTTGGGATAAATGCCTCAGCTATTCCACTGTTAAACGTAGGACAGCTATGTTTAAGGCTGGGAGAAAAAACCTAAATGATGACTCCGGGTCTGGACGTCCCTCAACGTCCATCAATGAAGATTCAATCAAGCAGATAGAAAAACTTACACTGTCAGATAGACCTATTACCAATGCTGAACTTGAGGAAGACACAGATCAAGCCATGGATCAATTGAAACTAACATTCATGAACACTCACAGATGAATAGGATATCTGCTCGTTGGGTGTGGAATTTCTAAATTCTGATCTTAAGGGGAAAAAATCAGACATTGCCAGAGAAAATTTAGAGCTAACTGGGGAGGATTTCGTCAAATTAAAAAAGAGATTAGTAATGGGTGATGAAACATGGGTCTACACTATGATCCTGAGTGAAAACGTCAATGCATGAAATGGCAACATTTCACTTCTCCAGCACCAAAGAGATTCAAGTCTTCAAGATCAGCGAAGAAAGTTATGGCAACTGTATTCTGACATGCAAAGGATGTGATCCTTGTTGAGTACTTAGAAAGTCAAAAGACGATTACCGGTGCCTACTATGCTGATTTGCTTCATCAAAGAAAAGCGTCGAGGAATACTGACTGCTGGGTTCTATTATTTCATGACAATGCCTCTTCTCACACCTCTCGACTTGCAAAGGCTGATGTGCGACAATGTCGGTTCAAAGAGCTGCCTCAAACCTCAATACTCGCCAGACCTGGCACCAAGTGATTTCCACTTGTTTTCTAAACTGAAAGAACACCTTCGTGGAAAGCGCTATGACGACAACGTTGATCTCAAAGCTGCCGTGGACGGGGTTTTCAAGAAAACGTCTTCCTAACTGGAACTGAAAAGCTTCACAATCGATTTGAGAAGTTTATTGAAAAGCAGGGAGATTATGTTGAAAAATAAAATTAAATAATTAAAATGATTAAATACGCTTTCAAAATTGATCGTTTTGTTTGTTAGGCTCAGAACGTTTTGACCAGCCCCCGTATATATCTATAGATGATCCAACAACAATGTAGGACACAGGTGGTTTGTGGGGAATGGAGATATCTTTGCATGATCCAGCAGCCTGTCTGACACATAATATGTGTGTCGATGTCGCTATATATATTTATTCAGCAGTTGTCAAGGAAGTATGTAGGTCGCGAGTTTCTTAATGATTTATTCGGGCCGTCGCAGTACGTTAATGTCTGACTTGTGTTTATGCTCATACACTACTGCTTAGAATTTAATTCCCCTTACACGCATGTTACATGCAGCCCATCAAGCTGGTAAAAATCTCGTCGCAACATGGCTGAAACATTGCTGGTGTGACGTAACATCTAAGCTGACTCACAGACAATATATATTTTGCGAGAGTATACACTGACATTTCCCCACATGGACTTTTCCCCATACTGAATATATAAATAATTTATATTATAATTTTAGTTAATTTTACAAACTATGATAATATGAATGCTAAAATTCATCATCACTTGTCAAGTTCCCCAAAATGTCACCGACTGGAAGGTCACAGGTAAACACTGATTCTAACAAAGTCGGATTGTCTTTGACACTGATGTTTATCCTCACTTTGTCACCACACTGCAGGGGATTCATGCCAAAAACGCTCACAGTAGTTAGTGAGTGAACTCATCTGAGGATTTTACGAATATCCATCAAAACCCATGACAATCTTATTACAATCAGATCTAAGTTCTCGCTGCCGCTAAACAATATTCGCGAAAGGTCGTTTTAACGTGACCCGTAATTGGATGTCCTCAGATCTTTGTTAAGCGGCAGCGAGGACTAAGATCTGATTTTAATCAGATTGAACCTATGAAAGCTAACTCAGTTCACTGAAATTTTAAATAATTAAGGCACTTGTAGTCACTAGTTAATTTCTGATTTGTATTTATCATTTTATCTATCATTATCATATCACAGTCATGCACACGAATACATAGATATATATGCGTTTGACTATAAGATACATATTTACAATCACTAAATACACCACGCATAATTTTCTAAATATAGATGTATGGCATGTAAAGCTGATCTTGCGAAAAATGCAATGTCTATGTTTCCAGCAGCAAGGTCACGCTTTAACTATGCCTATATCTCTGTATTTTCTTCTCCTCTTTACTTTTTCTTTCCTGCTTCGACCTGAATGTGTTTCGTCTCTGTGGAGTTCTGGATGCTGGCGATGTAGTGTAAGGCTAATTTCTTTAGTTTGTTATGGTAACCCTCCAAGTGGTTATTCGTACGAATTCTCTCTACCCAATAGCTAGTTACGTACGATCTTCCACGCCATCATCCATCAGGAGAAAGTCCTTGTGTGAAAGTGTTACTTGTAACTCCTGAGGCAACTGAAGTTCTTGCCTGGATGGCGGTAGAGGGGGTAGGACAGACCGACGGGGCTCTATACAGGCTGGATCTGCATGATTTGAAAGTAGGGAGGGATGCTACCTCGGGTGCTGCACGGAAGGTCTTCATGTCTTCATCATACAAGGTTGTGGTCATGGTTGTGTTTTATCGCATTATTCATTTAATCTTTTTGTCAAATTCAACTGAAACCGGGTCCCGTGTTACACGCACGCGTTCTCAACGCGTATGAAGGTGAATAAACTTCTAGGCAGTAGTGTATGGCACAATTTACATGTGTTAACGCATACGGACCTCGTGTAACCGTGAAGAGATCACATAACGTGTGAAAGTGGTAAAATTTATCAATACAAGTCTTATGATTAACAGCTTGCTTTGCACAATTAGCATAGTTATGATGATTTTCACTTACGTGTCGTTAACATTGTGATGATTGAATCCCAATTAGATGCTTATCAAATGTAATAAGTTGCTGATTCATGTGCACTGGACCTGGTTATCCAATTTGATTGAGGTGACAGCAACAAGCTTACTATTACGAACGTGAATGTCAAGGTAAAAAAAAACAGGGTCATTTCAATTCAGCATTAACACAGAAGGTTTCAAGTCAGCATTAACACTGAAGGTTTCAAGTCAGCATTAACCCTGAATGTTTCAATTCAGCATTAACCCTGGATATTTCAAGTCAGCATTAACCCTGAAGGTTTCAAGTCAGCATTAACCCTGGTTGTTTCAATGCAGCTTTAACCCTGGATGTTTCAATTCAGCATTAACCCTGGATGCTTCAATTCAGCATTAACCCTGGAGGGTTCAAGGCAGCATTAACAACGGATGTTTCAATTCAGCATTAACCCTAGAGGTTTCAATTCAGCATTAACCCTGGAAGTTTCAAATCATCATAACAACTCCACGTCGGTAACATATGTATCATCAACAAAAGTATGTCCCGTAGCTTTCATACAACTCGCTTATATTTTCATACACCTCTCTATGAAAAGCTGTTCGGGTACCTGTATGACAAGTTAAATATCCTCTTTGTTAGGGCACATGCGTCTTCACGGGCTAGAGCCCTGTTGTCGTCCCGTGGTTACATTAAACATCAGGCTCGGACCAGTTGTCATTTCTTGAAAATTATTTGTCAATTACTTTACCAATACTTTAGTTTGTATGTTAAAATAATAATACCGTTTGTGTATACCAGTTTGTTTCCTGACATTAAACAAAAAAGTACATGATAAAAGTGCCTGAATATCCATACTTTGCCAAATATTGATTAAAAACGGATTTAGCGTCTCAGCCCTTGATGCTGAATGTTGTTTTATGTCATCAAATATTCAAGCATTTTCATGGTGGCTTTTAATAATCCTCTCTGGTTTAGGGTAATCAGTGGTTGTCACACATACATACAACCAAGCAAAACACTGGAATGCCATTAACCAGAACGTTGTCACACATGTCACAGTGGGTTTCACAGCTGGTCGATGCAAATTATACACGTTTGGCATCTCTTAAAATGAGATAGATAAAACGACCAGAGCTTACTTTTGTATGCTGTCATAAATATACATAACAAATATACACATGTCTGTGCTTATCATTGATTATGTATATGTGACAAATTGGCAAGATAAAGGTATACATTGCCATCGCCGTTACATGGATGGGCCATGCAGACTGCAGTGTGACACCAAACAAATGATGCATAGTGGAGACAAGTATAAATATTACTGTGGCCAGAAGGGGCCATACTACATCACTCACCAACATGTATCATGTGTCAACACGCTATTGCTTGTACGAGCGACAGACAATTACAAGGCTTATGCGTCGCCTGTCAAACGGAATGACAATTATACCCCTGCCTACGCCCATTACATAGGGACATAAATATACATGAAACGTAAAAACTAAACACGAACCTTTACATGCTTCGTGAACATTTATATTTACACCACACATCAAACTGATTAAATCAACAGAATAATGAAGTGAGTTGATACTTACCTTCGTAGGTATCAGTACTGGAAGCGGCAATAACAGAATCGGGGTAAGAAACAGTATCAGTAATGTCCGAATTCTCCACAGATCCTTAAGTGTTTTGCTCATTGCCATCCTTATGAACTAGTTGTAGAGATATGACAAACTGCTCAATACGATATCTCCTCTTGATGGTATCATGCACAGGGTGCACAACAAGGAAACTCTCTCTATCCGTTTCTTTCAATTTCAGATTTCAAAACCTGTATCACTGTCAACAATGCTAGCTATGCGAGTCGTACGCACAAGTTCGCTGACGGTGTATGTCCAACTGTATATACAACCTGGGAAAGTGGTCACATGACAATTACCCCAGGTATCCGGGGGGAGAAGTGACTGGCTCATTGAACCTGATCAGCATCTGTTCATTATGTGGTTATCATGAGTCAACTGGAAACACGATGGAATGTACCGATGTCACAAACAAGTATATGGGACAGAATACTATGTTTCAAATAAGATGCCCAGAAACTATAGATCGGCACTAGCCAAGTTTAGATGTGGCGTGGCTCCTTTTCGAGTGGAAACCGGTCGGTACGAAGGTGTACCTGTCAACAATAGAAAATGTTTCACTGTAATGACAGGTAGAAGACGAGGTCCATGTTTTGTTTCACTGCGTTTTATATGACGATATCAGGGCAACTCTTTTTAATGAATGTATTGCTAAATCTTATAATGTTTTAGATATACCTGATATCGACAAATTTTGTTTAATTTCAGTGACTCCTGTGAGTGTTTTATACTTGCCAAAGTCTGCTTTTTAATTCTTAATCGTAGAAAACATCTTTTATATGGATAACTTTTTAATATATCATCTTTATATCATTTATGTATAAATTCTGTGATAATTTGTCTCTCATAATTCTATTGAATGGTTCTGTACATTCTATCTATGTCAAGTTGTACAAAGCTGTTTTATGTATGTACAGAAGTGAGACGTTAATAAACTATTCTCTGTCTGTCTGTCTGGGATTTTTTTATCAGTGAGTTTTCGTGTAATAAAAAGGATTTTGTCGCTTTTATGTAGAGAATTTACAACCGGTTTGAGAAAAATTCCATTGTACCATGGGTTGATGGAGTAGTCTAATGGTTAACGCGAAGACCCTTTACGCCAATTCGTGGTGTCCCTCAGTCGTCACACAACAGAATATTGATAACGCGTAAAAACCACACTCCTCATTACACTACAGTGACTTCTTAAATCAGGGAGCTCGGCTGTCCCAGTCGTGTAAGGCGCCGCAAATCGCTGTGCAGAGTTGCATCCCTTGGACACGCTAGAAACCTGTGATTGTGGGTTCGAATCCCCAGTGCGCCCCGATTTCTAGGTTTGTCAGCACCATACCCGTGCTCGTGGCTTTCACCAAAGTGAGATCTGCAGCACCTCGGGCTTTCCTCCCACATTAGGCTGACACGTCGTGATATAACTGGAATACTGTTAAAAAATCGACGTAAAACTCGCTCACTCTTAAACCATGCTGCCTTCTCATCCATTGAGAAAAAAAGTGTGAAAAACATGTACACTTTATTGTCATTATGCCGTGCAACATGGAATACGTTCCATCCACTAAATTAATTTTAAAATATTGTTACCACCATACTGTTTTTATGAGAGTATAATAATCAAAGTTTTCATAGGTAATAATTTAACTGAAATATTTCAACGAAATTGTTCTAAGTAGTTGTAATTTCTAAAACATATCACTCACGTCTAACTGGGACATGTAGTTAATTCTAAAATATCGCAAGTATCTGGTAACACAATAAGGATTAAACCTTTCGAAAAATTAACCTTTTAGATTCATTGTAAAATAATGCATTTCACACGCATAAAGGAACGACTGTGAACCCGTGCGTCACGTTACAATATATATGTTTCACAAATACCTTGACAATGACAAACGAGTGTACGTTTTTCGAGATAAAAGTGCTTTAAAATATCTGGCCTTACAAACTCTCGTGACACAACGATGAATCATCTTTCCACTTCGTGCCCCCAACGAACATGGTGCATACATAATTAGAAACATACCAAGAAAGCATGTGTCAATATGATAGTAACCTGATAAAATAAAGATTCAGTTGATGCAATTCTGTAAAACAGCTAGTATCTCAGTGGGCTAGCATTACAAAAATGTTCCAAACAAGTACAAACAGCCACACACGCACGCACACACGTGCATGCACGTCGCTCTATTAGTGCATTGATCATGAATTCGACCTCAAAACCAATTTCATCTAACATCACCCAATTAAATACAGATACTTTTCACACGCTGTGAATGCGACATTACTGATATAGACTGCGTTTCCCTCTGATGGCTCTGTCGTTGTTGGAAAATTGTTGCACAATACTTTTTTCTAAATTGATTCAGTACCTGGCACAGACGAAGAATTGTTTGAACCAACCCTGGTAATACACAAATAATTTTCAAGTATACTAAAAACGCAGGTCTGAAACGTCTCCTTTATCCTTGTTTATTTGTTGTGCTCCAACGCATCTGGACCAGACAGCCTTGTGAGTGACGTCGTGTGCATCGATCCACGGGGATACCATCCCATGCAATCAACCGCCCAGTCAGCATGTATGCATGGGCCCCAGTGTGGGTTTGAGTGAACCAGGTGAACTGATCAAGTGTTTTGCCAACTGGGCTCCACGTTGGTCCCAACAATACAACTCACAATATGTAGAGGGTATCACGCCAGTGTGTTTTCGGATGCCTAAGTGAAATCCGTTAAGAACCTTCGGCATTATCCTCTTCCGTTTACCTGACTGAAATGTAATGCCCTTTTGTACTTGATACAAACTGAACGGAAACGTCTAATTTTGGACTGAAATTCATTTTTGCCTAATCTAAATTGAAAGCAAATTTGGATATATGTAGCATAGAAAATTCCTCAAAAAGAATCATATTCTTCAAAACAATACCCAAGAAGAGTTAAAGAAAAAAAGTTCAATGTGCACAGATGTCATATACAATAATAATGGAAGAAAAATGCAGTGTTGTTCCATTGATGATGTTTGGTAGTTTCACATTTTGCATGCATGTCAATGCTTTGACAAAGAAGCACAGTAATCTATTCATGCATATGGTTTTGCTATAAAACACGTTGAACATGTGTTATTGCTTAAGCTGAACCCTCTCTTTTTGGTATGACGCGGCCTGGGATCGAACCCGGATCTTCTGCTCTCCGAGCGGACGCTCTACCACTAGACCACGGTGGCTGTCCCTCATATACCAGGACAATCATCTGAAGCAGGTGTTCATGATTAACCTTCTTCTTGAAAGAAAGGAAGCGGGTTCAATGGTTCAAAGAGCGTCATACGACTCTTGCTTAAAAGTTGTTCGTTCAAGGTTACAGCATTACGGGTCTTTAAAAATACTTTCAAACTGTTTTCAAATTTGGCGCATCAGTGGTCAAACTGATGTGCGATGCAATTCCCTTGTCAACGTGTACCATGTATCTCCCTGTCTGTTCAGGTGAACACGTGACGGGTGTCTCCGTTGAGGCAGGATACTCTCACCTTATCGTGAACACCTATATCATGCTGTACGGAATCGTACAATGGACTGTTTCTAGCAGATATTTCTTATACTTATGTGTGCCTTTTATTGATATAGATTATTGATAATGTGATGGTACAGATGAATATGACGAATTCCACTAGTTAAATGTAGTGGACTGCATTGTAACTTATCCTATTTTGGTATGAGCTTTTCCCTGCTTCAACCCATGCACAGGTGGTAAACAAGTGTAATATGTTTGTTTCCTCCGTCCCCGTCCTATAATGAACGTACGACTACAATGCCAAGCACGTCACATCCATAATTACCCTATGGACACTTTGCAACAATATGGTCCTCATTAATTGATAAGTACGGGTATTGGGGACCAATTTTGACCCAGAACTCCCAATAGAACGCATGAGCATAAACATACATCTAAGCACTAATTATAATACGTATAAACATATCCAGCTACATTCATGTATGAGGTAAGATATGTACACATGTACACCACGGCAGTAATAATACTCATAACTGTTAGAAATGAGGCCAAACTGAAGACCTCGATTTGTTTAAATATATTTTTAATGGAGTTTCTCCCAAACATGTTATAAAAGAAATAAATTCATTTTGTGTGAATACTTTTATTGAAACGTTCGTGAATGTTGTAAAGTGAATCTCGATGCATGTTACTAAATGCACCTCACTTTTAATCTGATTACTCTTGAACACAACCAGTCCTTATAAATACGTTTGTAAGCAATGTGGAAAAAGGAATGAATCAGTGAATTTGCTTTAACAAATTAACTTGCCCTTGCAGTTGTTTGTGACCGGTGCCACCAGTGGGTCAGGATAAACTCACCATTTCTCGAACACCTGGTATCATCAAAATTTGATAGTGATTCATAAACACATGCTCATGGTTTAGCCGGAATCGTACAATCGACTCTGCTTTTTAGCGGGGATTTCTTATGAATAAGGAAAGTGTTTTGTTTAAAAGGTTTTATTTACCTTTTTTTGCCAATGTTTAATTATTTCCTTGACCATTCAATCAAACTGAGGAAACTATAAACCTATTCCTTATATCAATTGATTTGACGTCCAAATGTAAAACGATTGTGTTGTTATGTGAGCAGTATTCGATATGCATCCTTTGCATGATACTTAACATTCAACTCTAATGGTGACTGGTTTAATCCGCAGTTTCAAATCAACTGGATTAATACAGACGATCTACTAAATTTGTCAGCAATCTATTGATTGCGGGATGATTATTTGGAACACCAAAATGGAATTAGTCAGTCAATTTGATTTAACAGTAGTTACAGAACATAACAGCGTATCAACTTGATGTGAGAGCAAAGCCCGAAGTGAGGCAGGAGCGTGACCTTTACCACTTTGGTGAAACCCACGATCACAGGTTTCAAGCACCTCCTAAGGGACCCAACTCTGCACAATGAATTGCGGAGCTTCAGACGATGGTGATTGGGTGACCAGTGGCAACGAAAATCCCGGAAAGAACTGAACCCTAAAGAGATACACTGCAATGATACAGGCAGCTTCAAGGAAGTTGCATTGTTATGTCGCACACATTCCCAAAACAACCAACGAAACATGGAAACAATCAAACAATAGTTATAGCTGTTCTCATTTACCGTTAAAGGCGATTGTGTTTGAGAAATGGGGATGTGATTCCTTGTGGTGAACTGGTTTTAGGTGGAGATGTCGTTATGTGTTATTTCTGTACAAGGAAATTAATGCTGCAAACTGTTAATTATGGGGAAGTCCGTGGCGATTCCGGGTAATAAAAGTCCACAACGTGTCGTAAGATACCACTTAAGGGTTGGTTGATTCCGTGTCCTCATGTGACGTTGCATCCACTATTGTTCAAATAAATGGATGTCACTAGCTCAGTATGCACAATGTGATAAAACAATGAAACGAAAAAGACATGCCTTCGAACAATAATTGCCAAACACCAGACATAAATAATATTATATTTTTTTACAGTGTGTGCATTCGCTTTTATCTTGTTCCAACAT